TTCCCAAATGTCAGTTTAATGAAAATATTGCCCCACTGAGTTGCTGGTTCCTAGTCTAATCGTCCTTGTTTTCAACGATAATTTCGGAAACACCAATCAATTAAAGTGGGACTGTATTAATTGTTGGTTGTATAACACTCAGCACCACTCCATCTGACTGACTGAGTTTTGGTTTTACGCCGCTTTTAGCAATATTCCAGCAATATCACGGCGGGGGACACCAGAAATGGGCTTCACTCATTGTACCCATGTGGGGAACTTCGGCGTGACGAGCCAACGCTTTAACCACTAGACTACCCCACCGCCCCCATACTATCTGAGTCTGAACCAAATAACCCAGTGGTTGACGCCATGAGCATCGATCTACGCAATTGGGATACAATGAAATGCGAACATCGTATCGTGGGTAATGTTTACTTCTCTATCAGGTAGTCCTTAAAGCATTCGTTTACATGCGTGACCCAGACAAGAAGATCCGGGTTAGAACTGATCGTGATCCATCCAAGAAGTCTCTCCTGATCTTCATCAACACATGTTTGTAGTAGGATGTGAATCCGGGTTAGAACTGGCCTTCAGTAACCCATACTTGTCGTAAGTGGTAGTGTAATAATGAAAGTGAGTGAGTGAGTTTAGTTTTACGCCACTTTTAGCAATATTCCAGCAATGTCACGGCCGGGGACACCAGAAATGAGCTTCACACATTGTATCCACATACGAACGCTTTAACCACTAGGCTACCCCACCGACCCGGAACTGTGATAGATCTAAATGTTTGATGCATGGATATTAGGCTCAGTGCTATAAAGGTGGTGTCCCGGTGTGGTTAAAGCGTCCGCTCGTCACGCCGTAGACCCCGGTTCGATTCCCCACATGGGTACAATATGTGATGCCCATTTCTGGTGTTCCCCGCCATGATATTGCTGGAATATTGCTAAAAGCGGCGTAAAAGTAAACTCACTCACTCACTCAGGATGATGCCAATCGCTGTTGTCATGTTTCCTTAGCATGAATATGTCTCACAGATACCTATTTCTACAGAAACGTGGCCATTCGTTTCGATTCGTCAACTTCTAAAGCAGATTTTGTTGATGTATCCGCCATCGCATTTCTATGCATCCCTACTCGAAAAGGTAACTACGATAACGAAAAAGCACACGTATTGCGTACATTATATTTCACCGAGGAGGAACCTGACAAATCGCAAAACACTTACAGATGCAAGAAAAATCGACAGCTGACACAGGCCTCAAGTACAGAACACAGGGTAACACCCCCATAATTGCAGTGATGATACTTTTTCAATTGTTCCCAGTCATGCCCTTCTCGCCAAAACGCAACTGAATGGACACGCCCGGATCTTCCGATAAGAATTACACACCGCGTGAGGTGTTGATCGTGTCGTCGACGAAAGCTTCAGCACGTGACGGGCGAAAACAGGAGCACCACAGGGAAAGTTGTGGGGTTGGCAACATCTGTAGAGTGAAAGTCGTATCATGGAATGGTTATTGCTCGCTCTGTGCGATTCCACATGGGGAAATGGTAAAACGACTGGATTTGGTTTAAAATACATTCGTCGAATAACGCCGGAAATGTTGTAGAACTGGGTCCCGAGTTATGTGAATGGCTGGCATGAAATTAACAGCTCAGCATGTAATGTCTTTGATGTTTTTTACGTAACGTGCACATGGAGATTGAATATGGTTTTACGCCGCTTTAGCAATATTCCAGGAAGATCGTGCGGGGAACTCCAGAAATGGGCTTCACACACTGTACCCATGTGGGGATTCGAACCCAGGTCTTCGGCGTGACGAACGATTTAACCACTAGACTACCCCACCGACCGACAAGTGAATGAATGTAGTTTGACGGCGAAGTTGGAGTGTTTTCATTCCGAAGAGACCCGTGAAGATCCGGGTTAGAATTGGTCTTCAGCAACCCATGCTTGTCGTAAGAGACGACTAACGGGATCGAGTGGTCATGCTGGCTGACTTGGTTGACATGTCATCGGTTCCCAGTCGCGTAGATCGATGCTCATGCTGTTGATCACTGGATTGTCTGGTCCAGACTCGATTATTGATACACCGCCGTCATATAGCTGGAATATTGCTGATCAACAGCATGAGCATCGATCTACCAAATTGGGATGCAATGACATGCATTTAACAAGTCAGCGAACCTGACCACCCGATCCCTTTAGTCGCCTTTTACGACAAGCATGGGTTGCTGAAGATCAATTCTAACCCGGATCTTCACGGGATTGGTATGTACAAAACAGTTTGTTTAGATCTTCACGGGTATTTCTACCACAACAAACCGACACGTGGTGATATTTCTGGAAAACTGTTCAAAGCAGAATCAAACTCACTCACTCACTATTTAGGTATAAATGCAGCTAATATCTAGTCTCTACACGGCATTTAGTAGTGATACACATGAAGGCGAGAATCTGTGGATGTCAATTTCTTTATTCTGATGGACACGACGTTTCGGAGTATATTCGCGTCGTGTTCCTCAAAATACAGAAGTTAACATCCATAACTTCTTGCCTCTAAGCTAATATCTAGCAAGTATGGGGACCATTTAAACACCGGTGGCGTGAATTTTTTTTCCCTGTTATGGCTACAAATCAATATCACTTTAAAATTGACATATACTGTTACAAGTACTCAAGTGATATTAACAACAGTATGGATTCTTCGCTTAATGCACCAGTGGTCTGTCATCTGATCGATTGATGCGACAGGTGCGTTTACAAATTATGCTTGTTAGCTAATGACGTCGTGAATACTTAAACTGAAGGCACGATCACTCAGTTTCTTTCTGATACTTGTATGGAATAGAATATAAAAACATATATTACTGGTAATGAGATAATTGATTATTGGTTTTTGCTGTTTACATGTAACATATTGCTGAAAAATGGAGAATATTAAAACCACTGATAAATCATAACATATGAATTGCTGGTAATCAATTACTGAAATTGACAACGTGAGTGGAATTCCCTACTGACTGACAGAAATTGACACACCGGGTATAGCTATTTACACTTGCTCCAAGCAGTAATCGACAGAGCTAGTCTACTTACACAAAGGCCATTTCAACTAATAAATATGCAATTTTATGTCGGTGAATTAAAAACACTTGGTTAACATTTCGGCAAGGTGTTGACAAAGCAACAATTGACGGAAGCTTTAGTTGCTATTTTTAGCTGTGTCCATTTCAGAATTGGAAAATATATACCATGTGCACGGTGCTGGAATAAGTCCCCACCAATCGCCATCATATATGTCGTAAAATATGTTATCACTGCTGCTATAGTACGATAGTAAACAGCTCTTGCCTGGGACATTATTGTGCATTGCCGTGATGAACATATTCCATTATCGATCATAGTTTGTTGGAATAAGCAAAACAATGTTTAGGCCAGAACACAGCTGTGTCCACAATGAGGCGAACGTTGTCGACAGCAGCATCAATGACACACCAGATTGACTAGAACATGATAATTTCTGAATAATTGAATAGATTGGTGGGCATTAAACATCCCATATTTTGTAGTTTTCGTTCAGACATAAGGCATATTTGATGGTTTACATTAATTTTACCTTTAAGACCAAGGCACTGAAATAATCGATATAAATTAATTAGTTTCTTACATTAAGAGTTTGTTTTATTCACTTTGTGAATAAATTATTTTACAATATTGATTAAATGTTTTATTGTTGTATATTGTTTCGTTGTTTAGACAAGGGATGTCGGGTACTAGTATGAAAGAACTACTAAATTATTTGAATTTAATTAGATGAGTGAGTGAGTTTAGTTTTATGCCACTTTTAGAAATTTTGCAACAACATCACGGCGGGGGACACCAGAAATGGGCTTCACACAATGGACCCATGTGGGGATTCGAACGCGGACCTTCGGCGTGAAGAGCGACTACTATAACCACTAGGCTACCCAACCACCTCTTGATTGAAAACCCAACACTAACATTAAAAAACTGTTAAAACTAATTCACTTTAGTAAAACATAGCAACTAGCTTAAATTGTTAATGTAAGGTACATGTATTTGGATTCGGATTTTAGGTTCAATCTGTTTTTTATTAAATATGTTTATTAAATTTAATCTGTTTATCAAAAGAATAATACGAGCGAGGTAGGAAGAACGTTGCCACTGTGATAATTATGTGTCTTGCTTTCTTTAACGCTGCACTCGACAACATTTCAACTATAAGACGGCGGCAACTAAAAGTCGCGCCTTGACCAGTGATAGATATTATGAACAACGGCTCTAGACATCGGTTAATGATAACACAAGCTTAATCACCCAGTCAATGTAGCCATGGCAACGGGAGCTTCGTAACGTATTCTAACACTCAACCCAAAAGAAGCCTGTTTTATGCTGTATTTGTATAAGGATTTCTTAGGTATGTGGTGGAGTCGTGACCGTTTGTTCTGGTTGTCCAGGTAATGCCCAGTGGTCACGACATACCTCCACATTCAGATTCACGCGGATTATTCCGTTACCTACATTATACCACGGGCGGGCGTGGGTGGCCTTGTGGTTAAAGCGCTCGCTCGTCACGCCGAAGACCCGGCCTCGATTCCCTACATGGTACAATGTGTGAAGCCATCACTGGTGTTCCCCATCGTGATATTGCTGGAATATTGCTAAAAGCGGCGTAAAAGTAAACTCACTCGCTCCTTATATCACGGCAACATTACTGTAACATAGTTCGTTCCAAAAGCGCACTCCAGCATCAACGCGTATTATGTAGCCCGTAGCAATACCACATTTCCATTTCTGTCAGCTAAAATACATATTCCTTCTGATCGCTTTGTAAAATTGAAGATAAGTTAAACCAATCCTATTAAATTTAGACATAGACATGCTTGTATCTTTTCACTGCCCTCTTTTTCCCACATTCCACCGTCTCTTGACCTGTACCTGGCACAGTCAGTGGCCAGTCAGTGGTCAGCGCAAATAGACATCTCACCTTTCTACACAAAGACTTCTTCTTCCCATCTATAACCTGCACCTGTCCGGAGTTTCCCTGCTTCGTCATACTTCAAGTGTTAATCCTTATCCACTTTAATCCTAATCCGGGATGAAAGAGAACGGGTTCCTTGTTAAAATGACAGCGGTCTCAGTTCAACTCACTCCAGAATATATCAGTGACTTCCTGATAATATATCTCGTGATGTTACAAAGTTTAAACAAGCTTATTGTCAGAGTCAAACTCAATCAACAATCAGTCAAATCCGTGCGTTTGTCTTCCGTACAGTTTCTGTACAGCACGAGCTGTTGTTATTACATCCACATGTACAGGCAACTGAGCGTTAACAACCACAACCCAGCTTCACTATATCTCCACTCAACGCTGCATATTCCCCGCCAATATTCAACTGATGCGCCAACTTGCCTGCTCGCCGTCAAAGCGAACCGTTAATTCAAAATTGATAAAGCCTATCGCTCTGCTGCAGACCATGGCTTTCTCTTTGTCACTGGCAATGAACGGCGAGAGTACATCATCTACAGAACAGTCCACCGCAGAGCAGGGAGTACAGTGCTGGGCGCGGCTAACTTCCCCTCGGCTGCCATCTGGCTCGCATTCACCAGGAAGTGTGTCAGGGGGCTATTCTAGTGGGACGCCAGTAGGCGATACATGTAGATTTGATGACGAATATTATAAATCAAGACCCAACATGCTTACCCTTTTCGACAAAATCCCTGTGTTTCAGTGATCTATTCGTATAATTTTCTCCAGTTTTGTCATGGCTCATGGAATTTCTTTCGTTGTATAATCGAGACTAGTTTTTCTACCGCATGTTGTATTATACATAAAGTATATTCCGTCAAATGAAGCATTTTCCTAGACGAATTTCGCGGGTAACTCCACACTCAGCAATATTTCAGCTATATGGCGGCGGTCTGTGAATAATCGAGTCTGGACCAGACAGTCCAGTGATCAACAGCATGAGCATCGATCTACGCAGCTGGGATACGATGACTTGTGTCAATCAAGACTGACCCCTCGATCCCGTTAGTCGTCTCTTACGACAAGCATGGGTTGCTGAAGATCAATTCTAACCCTGATCTTCACGGATATATTGAGAAGTACCCACATAACAATACTCTGTCCTTATTGAAACATCAATTTGCGGTCATTATAGTTCATTGTTTCTTAAAACTATCGGGATATATAAAGTAACACCCATGATTGATGCTGGTTAAATAAGAGAAAAAATGGTTATTCCATGGTGATGTCACGATCAGCCCAGACATTCAGCCTCGTAAAATTAAAAAGTTCGTATATTATTTTCAAGTTTATAATGCAAGTAAGGAACGCAATTTTGTTTATGATAAGAACACCCTCATTCAAGGACTTTCAGCATATTTTGGAACTTTTTAAAGCCGCTGCCAGATTATTGTTTTCTTTGAAAGTAACTGGTCCCCATCCACCCAGAAAATATACTTGGTATCTCCGGTTCGATAAATGGAATTGATATTGTTGAGCTCGCTGACCAAGGCAATCAGGTAACCTAAATTCATTATATTTTATTCACGAACGCTCATTGAAAACGGGTGTGATCAGTGAGTTGTGTTTGATGTATGACACACCTATGTATATGGGATGTCAGGAATCAAACAGTATCACCTGTGTTGCATCAAACGCCCAGACATACATCAGTGAACATGCCATTGATTATAGCATCTGATCCAAGTCTTTGAAAACAGACATCATTCTGTCGTGTCCAACGGAATGAAAAAAACGGTAATCAATTTTGCTTCCATGCATATTGTAGTATTTGAGTGTAATATAAGACTTCTGGAAGTGCGTGCGAACTGACGCTTATTTTGCTTTCTCTCCGTGGGGGATTCTTGGCTTAAAATATCTCTAGAAGTTTGTGTTTCTCGTAGGTTTTTGATGCTGCATTATTGTTTAACGCCGTACCCAGCGATATTCCAGTTATATGGCGGCGGTCTTTAAATAGTGGAATTTGGACCAGACAATCCAGTGATCATCAGCATGAGCATCGATCTACACAATTGATCTACAATATGCAGCACTTTGGGATCAGTATTGCAGTTATACCGGCTTGATGTTGGAAGGAAGCCTAAGTGAAACAGGTCTCGGACCATTCTCTCCCCACAGGGGTTACTCGTCATATCTTCCTACGTACCTCTGTTTTAATACGGCCATATTTCCGGTCCTCCTAAAATCTCCTAGCGGCAAAAATCGCAACACGAATTATCTCCCCTTCTTTCTATCCAATCAGAACACGTGTTACATCGACTTAGATCCAATATGGCGATCTCGATCCCTGTTTCTTGTGGATATTCCTTCCCAACACTTGCTCAACCTGACTAATATTAGCAAATGTGGAGCCACAAATATACCTCCTCTGTCGGGAACTGATGTTGATGTGTCACACAAGACATTTAATGGCTAGCATGTCCGATGTCAACAAGGGCGATGGAGACGCCATTGATCCGCCATTACATGACTGAGTTCTGTCTACAAGAAACGTTTGCGCAGGGGAAGATGTTCTAGTTTTCCCGAAGCATTCAGAAATTACCGAGGCTTTTCGAATGATCACTTTTGAAACAACGTCGCTGATTGCACAACTAAATCTTATTGCAATCAATCACGAATCCTGAACACTCGCACCATGAAAGGGCCGTATTAGAACAGAGGTACGTAGGAAGATATGACTCGAGTAACCTCTGCGGGAAGAGAATGGTCTCAGACATAACGACTTTGTTGAAACATACGAGCACGTGAATGGTGCTGACAAAACTAGAAATGTAATAATCGCGAATTCGAACCCAAAAAGGACAGGTTTCTTAACAGGACGCATCTCTGCACAACTAATTGCGTCGCCTTAGACGATTATCTGATCAGTGACACTATCAATGCATATCCACACTGCATCTGTTCTCCCAACGGTGTCACGGCTCGCGTGGAACGTTGCTACGGCTGTTGATCATGGATAAGGTTGATCAAAACGTGATTACCTACGTGACGGCGTGAGTATAGTTAACTCACTCATACATTCATCATTATAGCATGACCAATAACTTTAGAATCGTTCCAAGCGTTTCATACGCACAGTTGATCTCGTTTGGTCGATAATTATAAAATCGATAAATATTGCCCAGGCAAAAGAAAGTATAAATTTGAAAATGCATAATGAACGCTACCGTATTTCTGTGTCCTGTTAAATTGCAAAACCATGTTCCACGTGAAGCCATGTGCTTGTGGTAGAAAAGGTAGATCACGCTGAGAGATATTTATTGATATGATGCCTGTAATATCGGCTTTAATTCGCACACATCACGATCAAAAGACTATCATATTTTTTGTTTCATTTTAGCCAATTTCAAACGTGGGTCTATAGCAGAAAACAAACCATTTCTTGTTTAGGTAATTTGTAGCCACATACTAATTTGGAGTATAGTTTCTTTTCACCGTCAGTTTAATGAAGAACCAAGGTAAAGATATTATAAAGAATGCATTTTTTGGGAGACGAGTGTCGGTCTCGACTTTTAAACCAGTGCCACATTGGAAATATCGTCTCTGTAATCATTAACTATAAGACTGGTTCACAGTTTACGATGCGGATATTGAAGGTATTGTTACAACGATTTGCCATCCCGCCAGCCAACCCTCCGTTTAATTGATAATTAGGAGAGATCCCCGACCTCTTTAGCACGGCGATTTAAATACATGTATCACGTGTTCTTTGAAAGTCGGTAAGATCAAGATGAACAATGGTATGAGAGGATCAATGGCGCTGCATAACAGTACTTCAGATGTATTGAACGTTTCTGCTAAAAAAGATAGTTGCTTTATATCAACCTGAAGCAGGCATGTTTGCGTGTTTTATGCAATCCTTGGAATAAACATGACTTGAAAATACAATATTCCAATAGGCACAGACTTGTGAATGACATTTGTGCTGGACATTTTGAAATTTGACCTATCAGTGATATTGAATGCAATTCTTAATTTTGATTTGTACCAAATGTTCCTGTTTTCTAAAGTGAACAATCGACTGGCCATTGCGTGTGTTTGTGAAGGATGGGTTTCACTAGTGCAAAACGATTTTTATGTTTATAGCGAACATATGGTATTGTCACTATTTAATCATAACTCATAAGAGCGCTGCACATGTGATGCAGCCGGAATAGACCAACAGACTTTGAAGTTTACAGTCTGTAGTAAAGGTTTGCTATTTTATAGAATGGCTTTTAACCAAATGTTGGGATTTAAACACGTTTGTTTGAGTTATATGAGTGAGTGTTATGTGAGTGAGTGTGCCTTTTAACGAATTGTTGGGATTTAAACACGTTTGTTTGAGTTATATGAGTGAGTGTTATGTGAGTGAGTGAGTGTGGCTTTTAACGAAATGTTGGGAATTAAACACGTTTGTTTGAGTGTTATTAGTAGTGTGAGTTGGGAGTGTTATATGAGTGAGTGTTAGAATGAGTGTGGCTTTTAACGAAATGTTGGGAATTAAACACGTTTGTTTGAGTTATATGAGTGGCTTTTAACGATGTGTTATGTGAGTGAGTGAGTGAGTGTGGCTTTTAACGAAATGTTGGGATTTAAACACGTTTGTTTGAGTTATATGAGTGAGTGTTATGTGAGTGAGTGAGTGTGGCTTTTAACGAAATGTTGGGATTTAAACACGTTTGTTTGAGTTATATGAGTGAGTGTTATGTGAGTGAGTGAGTGTGGCTTTTAACGAAATGTTGGGATTTAAACACGTTTGTTTGAGTTATATGAGTGTTATGTGAGTGAGTGAGTTTAGTTTCCGCTTTTAACACGTTTACGCCGCTTTTAGCAATATTCCAGCAATATCACAGCGGGGGACACGAGACACGGGCATCACACATTGTACTCATGTTACATGAAACGTTCCTGTGAGGTGGAACAGATGAAGTGGTCGCCTGTCACACCAACTGTTCCAGTTCGATATCTAACCAGGTAATGCCTATTTTCTGCGAGCTATTCCGTAATGTTCCCGCAATGTAATTGCTTGAATATTGACCATGGCGCGGAAAAAGATTCCCTCTCATAACGTATAAAACTTTCAGTTCGGCTTTCAATACGGGGTTCAAACGTATAATTGCGTCTGTATGGGGACGTATTGAATAATGGAGCATGTTATTTTCCGATTTATCACCAAGTCTCTTAATAATAAAGCAATGTAGCCCTGCTCTTTCAATTATTCGTGTCGATGATATTAAGGGCAGCATTTTTATTTTTTGTGTTTCTCCTCGCCCGACTGACCCTTCTAATTTTATTGCCGACCCCCCCCAAAAAACTTTTTTTTTCATTCCAACATCACCGACTCGAACCTAAAAACGTACCGCCTCGTCATATAAAATGTTCATCTATCTAAAATGTTTTAATCAGTCGCTGTCACAAGTCCAAAGAACTCGAGAAATTGTAATAAGAATTACAATAAATGAGAATCAAGAACATTATTCGGATAATTTTGTCTTTATTAATTTTTTTATTTATT